AGCAACATCTGATCAGCCTAAACTTTGATGTGCTTTTTCTCATCGCCTCTGGAACTTCAGAAATATACCATGCTTGCGCCATGCTTCCCTCTATTACCTATATTCGTGCCGGCTTTGCATGTGTTGTGTGTATATTACCTACCATACAGTAAAAATCATCTGTAGTATTCGAAAGGCATTCTGTTAAACTGAATTTCTGTGAAGCCCTGAATTTAGAAATCATCTCAAAAAACGGAGGGCCGGGGCTCTGTTTTTCTATTTTACTTTTAATCTGGTACGGTGAGAGACTCACGGAGCTTTCGATCACGGATATTCTTGGATTCTGAATTCCAGCTCGTTTGAGTAGTCCTAGTTGAGACGATTGAAGTTACGAACAGATAATGAATGGTCTTGAAGAGCTACTCTGCAAACTGGCTACACATCTGATTGCTACCTCAATTAAGGAGAGACGGCTAAACGCGGCTCATTCTAGCGTAGGCTGCGTACCTGCCGACAAGGTTGCATGTTTATTTTATCAATGATCATTGCAAGCTAGAAGTTCAGCTCCTTCCCATAATCACAGTCTTACAAAGGCATGACTTTAGAAGCCGTCGTTAGCCTGATTTCTTCTCCAATTTACGGAATCTGACAGACTGAGAGGAAACAGCTTCTAATCGTTCAGAAGAACATCCGTCTGAACGGTAATGAACCCACTCAGAACCCCATTTGGGCGATTAGGATTCGCAAAATCGTGTTATTCGATGATCTTTGGTCGAGAGTTGAAAACCTTGGCGGAGGATGATGTCCCGAACAAACACCTTAGCCTAATTAGCGCTCAATTTTTTCTCGGCCCTGACCTCAAGCAGGTTTCCGACCCATTTTACAATGGAGGATTTCGGCTTTCTCAAGCTAATCACATAGTGAGCCAGTCTTCGATCACCCAATACCGTTTTAGAATCTACTGACTTCTCTCTCATTCTTTTTCTGGGATTCCATTACTTATGTTCGAGTCACTTTATACCTTGAAGGCACCAACATAAAATAGAGCTTCGAAAATTTCTTCGAAAGGAAGTGCCTAAGACTCTCAGTCCGTTTTGAATGCGCCATGCACTTGAATTCCACTAACTTCACCATGACGCAATGAACTATCGCACTTTTTTTTACCTTTTTTTCTATAGAAAAGCCTAAAACCCACAGAATCAAAACATACAAAATCTGAAAATAAACAGGCAGAAATGTAGCTAAAATTGTCAGGCACCACTTATAAAAATTCTTGAAAATTCAAAGGCCATAACTTTGAAATTGAGTCCAATCCGGCTCGATGTATACATCGTAGTATGATCATATCTTTTCTGAAATTCTCGTACAACACAGTCGATTCTGCCCTCACTGCTTTCATGAGTGGAGTTTAGTAAATTCAATGGGTTAATTTGGCTAGTAGAGTAGGGCCTTTCAAAAACTCAAAAGATGGCCCATAAGCGTATCGCCGCCATGAACCTTTGGAATCCACTGAAATGTAAACATTCATGTAAGGCCGGATATTCATCGACTATTCACTCGATTCGCAAATATTCGTGCACTACGAGGTTCTTCAAACAGTAAATGGCCTCATTTTTTTTTACCAAAAATTAGTTACTCAAGTGTCATCCCGATCAACTGTTGCTGTGAATCTCGATTATTAAATAGTTGAATACCTGGAGACTATACTGTAAAAGTCATTAATTCTCGTTCAGCCACTCACTACAGAAATCCGATGGTCTTTACCAAACTCCGATGGGCACCATTGGAAAGGCCATGGGCTGATTTGGTATCAAAATATTGCATCTTTGTAGCCAGGTGAGGAAACGATTTGTTCGGGGTAATGAATCGTTGTTACAATTCCATACATAACACTGATGCATGGCGTATCCCAAACCTCCTTCTTCCTTGCGGTTTTCTTAAACTGTGGCTACTGTACATATGGTATAGTATTACTTAGCTCTAGTCCAGAAGATTGTTCTTCCATTCAGGGAAGCGATTCGAGACGGACAGAGAGTAAGACAACCCCGACTCAAATGGCTAGTCCGCTGGTTCACTCCCCTTTCAAACATGTTATGTCCTTTCAAATCCAATCTCCTGATAGTAGGCATTTGAAGAACCATCATTTCCATGATACTGAGGAGTGGTGAGAGCGTGGCGCCATCTGGACATTATGGCTCTTTTAAACAGTGAACAGCTATCGACGGCCAGACCACTTCTCAATGACCAATTATACCGTGCACTGGAGCATTGCACCCATAACAATTGCCTTCAGTACATTTCAAAGACTTGGCCGACTTTCCAGTTGACGATCTATTAGGCTAAGTCTGAGCGAGGAGCTAGTTTGAGGAAGGGAATGGAACCTGAGTTTCACAGCCACGGGTGGGAGTCTTTCTGAAGATTCTGGGATATGCCACTCATCTTTCAGACTTTGGAAATGTAGCAATCAGTGAGTGGTTGCAAAAAATGAAATTAAATAACAAGTCTGTGCTTGAACATAATCGAATTAGTGTGGTTTCAGAGAATAGAAGTTCAATTTGAATTGTCTTCACTGATTATTTTTCACATAAAAGAACCTTAGTTAAGCTCTATCTCACACGAAGGAATTCAGCCTTCTCGGGCAGACCACTTCTCCCTCAATTGTTGTTCCCTGGACATCTAATCAGGTCAAAAATGTACCCAAGAACTGAATCATTCAGTAAATGACTCTCGAACTTCACTTCTGTTCTATGAACAACTCGATTAATACCACTTTGCAGCTGAATTTTCTACATTTTGGCTTGAACTTTTAATCAAATTAATTCTTTTATTATTTTCCAACAAAAATATAGAACCTCTAATTTTAAAAGTTGCAGGCACCCATGGCCATTCATAATAATTCCGTGCATTGTGACAGCTTTACTGTCAACGGGTATTTTCCTTAACTTTAAAATCGTTCGTGGCGTTCATTACCTCTACTCTCCACTGGATGCACGATGGAAAACCGAAGAGGCAGTTTTTGGCGAAAATTGGGCCGCTGACGATGATCACTTCTACCCAGGTGAGTGTGGAGAAGTATATTTTGGCACAAGTACCAATCGATCTTAATTTTTAGGAAAAGATGTTCTTCGACGGAGGGGACTCTATCTGATCGTGAAAGCTCTCGACAATGGTAATGTGCTGAGACAGAAGCATGCTGAACAGTTTTTGCAGGTCTCTTCCGTGCATTGTGACAGCTTTACTGTCAACGGGTATTTTCCTTAACTTTCAAATTGTTCGTGGTGTTCATTACCTCTACTCCCCATTGGATGCACGATGGAAAACAGAAGAGGCAGTTTTTGGCGAAAACTGGGCCGCTGACGATGATCACTTCTACCCAGGTGAGTGTGGAAATGAGTATTTCGATAGAATTATCGCTCGATCTTAATTTTTAGGAAAAGACGTTCTTCGACGGAGGGGACTCTATCTAATC